CACACACACACACACACACACACACACACAGCAGTTGCGTATGTAGGAGTGTGTGTTCTCTGCTGCAGGTCTGGGCCAGATGGACAGTTAGAAACAGTTTAAGAGGGAAGTCAATTACAGCTGATTACAGCGGCTCCTGCAGAACACATCTGCAGCTTGTGTGTGTGTGTGTGTGTGTGTGTGTGTGTGTGTGTGTGTGTGTGTGTGTGTGTGTGTGTGTGTGTGACTGCAGGAATATAAGCTGCTGCCGGCTGTGTGTGTGTGTGTGTGTGTGTGTGTGTGTGTTAGGAATGCACCAGTTCTTGGTAAAAAGCCGTATTGTCCCGTTGTTCTCCTGTGGTTCGGTGTGCTCTGTGATCCGCGGTTTCCTCGTCCCAAAGTCAATGGGGGTTTTTTCAGTGGGGTTTCAGTGAAATCGCCTAAATAAGGTCCGTGGCGAACACAAACTCAAGATATTTTCACGTTTTGTTCTACGACATAAAACGCATCAGTTACAGCTCACTCTTGACTTATTAAATCGGTTCTGCTTCTTTAATAAGCCGGCTGCTATTAAGTTGCTAAATGCGACTACAGGCGGTGTCGGAGGCGTGATACGTCATCCAGCTGATCTGGTCTGGAGCGCAGCTCGCTTGGTGTTTTTTATAAACTTTATTTATTGAACACAATTGGATAGCGTTCGCTGTTTACAAATGTCCAATTTCTGCTTTTTGAACACTTTTGTAAACATTTAACCCCAAAACCCCCCAACCATCCCACTCATACATACTCAAAGCCACTTTTCTTGTAAAACATATAACAGAAGACGGAGAAATAGAAAAAATAAAATAAGATATTAACAATAAAACAAAAATAATGATAATAGTACAATTTGAGATAAATATATAAATAATTTAAAATAAATCAAATAAAATGCATAGATTAGCTAGTTACATCAACAGTAATGTGCTCCCCACCTCCTGGTTATAATGGTTTAGTTGTGCTGAGGATGGACCAATGCGTCTAGGTTAGGGCATGACAGTTCCCGAGAAAAAATGCCAGTCTACAAAATAAAAATAAATAAATCCGACCATAAAATGATTTCTTAAATAATCACTTCCAGAGGTGTTACAGCTCGCTTGTGTTGGGCATTTGTGTTTGTCTGGTATTTCAGTATTGTCATGAATAGTCTTTCATAGTTTGTTCTGTTTTTCTCATTGGGAATCCATATTGTGTGTGGATAATTCCTTCACCTGTAAAGGCTGTCGAGACAGATCCATTTGTTGATCGCTTATTTTAATTAAACGATATCATGAAGATACCTGTACCAGTGCAGTCTGCCTCTCTCCTGCTCTCAGTAATGCAAACGTGTGGATAAATGAGTAAAACACACACTTATTACCCGTCATTTTAAGGTGATCTAGTGATTTTTCATCGGGTTTTCCTTCATCTGAGCACAGGTAACTCTGTCATAACTGCAGTATTTACACTCTCCTGAAAATGTAGAGCAGATGTGCCTGTATGAGCTGCTGTTCACTGTGCTTCATGACAAAAAAGACGTATTAAACGTTGCTCTGTGTCCATGATGGAACTTGCAGACATGTAGACGTGTCCCTCTCGCCTCATGGTTCAGGTAAGCGGGCAGTGTGCACGCGAGCGGTACGCTTATTTAAACATGTCTGATGATATGTGGGCACATTTATACATACAGTTCTAAAACTTTCACAACAACCCTAAAAAAATCAGGAAAGGTGTGTGTATCAGGTGCTGCCGTCACAGGCGAGCGCCCCGAGGGCTCAGTAGTCTGTTTATAGCCTGATGTTAGCTTTTCAGCTCTTGCGTTTGCATTTAAGATCTAAAAGTGCTCAGAGTTGTATTTTGGTGTGAGGATTATCCGGCTGGACAAAGCGTGTGAGTGTCATGAGCAGTGTTTGAACACTTACAGAAGAGCTTAAAGAGCCCATATGAAGGGTGTTTGGAAATGCTCCTCCATGTGTGTATCACAGCTCTCAGTGAAGTGAAATATCCAGCTGAGGCTGAAATCTGTAAGTGTTCAGTGTTTAAAACTGTTGATTCATCTGTAAAAGAGTCGACTCATAGTGCTTCAGACGAGTCGTCTGGATAACGAGTCATTAGGTGTTTCGTGATGACGTATCTACAAAACACAAGTAGTTGCACACGCAAACCCGGGAGATTTGAAACCTGCGGCCCCGCCCACTATGAGGAAACAGCAGTAATCAATACTGTACATTAACACATGATTATCATTAACATGCGCACATGACCATCATCTGCACAATGGGCTGCGATGTTGAAGAGAACAGAGCAACTGAAGCCTTTCCTCTCCATTTTC